CAGTGCGTGGAGCACGACTGCTTCAGCCTGCACTGGGCGCGGGGCGACTTCGCGAGCGCCCGCCGGGGCTGCGAGGAGCTGGGCGGGCACCTCATGACGGTGCGCTCCACCGTGGCCGCCGACGTGCTGGAGCTGCTGCTGCAGAATAGCAGTGCCGCCGCCAGGCTCTGGCTTGGCCTGCACCTGTCCCGGGACTGCACCGAGCCTGGCCCGCGGCTGCGCGGCTTCCGTTGGGTCACGGGCGACGCCGACACCGACTACGTCAACTGGCGGCGGAACGGCTCCGTGTGCGGCCGGGCCTGCGCCGCGGTGTCCCGGGACCTGCTCTGGGAGGAGCGGCGCTGCCAGGACTCCCTGGACGGCTTCTTGTGCGAGTACAACTACCTCGGCACGTGCCGGGGGCTGCCCGGCGGGGACGTGACCTACCGCACTCCCTTTGGGGCGCGGGACAGCGACCTGGTGGCCCTGCCGCCGGACACCGAGGCTTGGCTCCCGGCGCTCGACTTGGAGCTCGTGTGCAAGGAGGACGGGGGGCGTTTCAGGTGGAGCGCCCACTTGCCCGGGGCCTGGGCCTGCCAGGTGGATAACGGGGGGTGCGAGGGCACGTGCCAGGAGAAGGACGGGCATCCCTCCTGCGCCTGCCCCGAGGGGAGGACGCTGGAGGCGGACGACCGCAGCTGCTCAGCCCCCTGCGCCAGTGCCCCTTGCGAGCAGCTCTGCGTCCCCCACGGCACCGACATCCTCTGCATGTGCCTCGAGGGCTACGAGCTGACTGAGGACGGCATCCACTGCCAAGACATCGACGACTGTCAAGTGAACCCGCAGGTCTGCGACCAGATATGCATCAACACTGAAGGGGGCTTCGAGTGCCAGTGCCGCCAGGGCTATGAGCTGGTGGAGGGGAAATGCAGGGATGTGTTAGAGTGCTACGAAGTCTTGTGCCAGCACCACTGTGAGGACATCCCTGGGGGTTACAGATGCATCTGCTTTGAAGGCTATGCCCCTCACCCCGAGGACCCTTTAAAATGCGTCTTGTTTTGCAACCAGAGTCAATGCCCTGCCGAATGCGACCCTCATGTCCAGAATAATTGCGTGTGCCCTGACGGGTTCATCTTGGATGAATCTGAGACGGGTCCCAAAATGTGTATAGACATCAATGAGTGTGAAATGCAGCATTGTGATGGGATCTGCACGAATACGCTAGGAAGCTTCAGGTGTGATTGCCCTGAGGGGCAGGTCCTCACTGACCCATACACATGTGTAAATAGGAGTGATTTCGAAACAGAGATTTCAGGGAGCGGTGAAATTTACCTGCAAACACCAGTCCCCACCCAGCTCCCACCAGCTAAGAGCCTCCACCCTGGGGCTCTGGTTGGCATCATCGTGGGCACTCTGTCCATGATCGTCATCCTGATAGCCCTCGTTTACCACCTAATGAAGAAGCATTTCATTGCCCAAAGAGCCATGGACTATAAATGTAGCAGCAGTATCGAAAAGGAAGTGGGACTCTATCATGTTACCCCAGGATGTTCCTCTGCTGGCCAGAAATTGTAGAGATTCAGACTGAAATGACAGGAAGAAGTAGAGAACGGGCTGAATGTTTTTTCATAATTCCAATGAAAAACAGAATTCAGGAAAAGTTATGAATGATTTTTCTTGGGGGGAGTAAGGGGGGAGTGAAAAAAAGAGGTTCGCCATGTTTTTTGCCAGTTCTAGAAACTATCCTTTGCAAGGCACGGGAGATCTAAATGCCACTGCATTCAGTAGAGAGTTATTGTCTCTGTGCCCTCTGTAAGGAAATTGGCAGATAGATGCCTTTTGGTTCCCCACCATTCGTGACATGGTGACTTCAGTGGAATTGAAAGAAAGAACTCTATTTCTGAGAAGAATGTCCTGGTTTGGAACTGACTATTTTAATCTATCTTGACTGTAAGGCAAGCGCGTATATGCAACTCTGATCTAAGAGTAATAGACCCTGGGGCAGCTCAACCCAAGTGGCTCTTATCCAGAGGCAGTATTAGGAGTTCTTTTCTGCATCAGCTAAGAAGAAGAGCTGGAATGCTGCTGCATTTATTTAGGTTGGTTTTTTGTTTTATGTGGTTTTTTAAAACTGAGAATTACTAAAGAACTAGCAAAGTTCTTTTGGTCAGTGCTTCTCCTAGTTTCATCTCCCTGTCTTTATAGTCTGTAGGAAACTGAAACTCTCATCTCTGTCTGTCCGTCTGTAGTCACCTACCTGTTCATCCACTTTTCTTCCTTCTTTTGGATGTTATAGTGTTACCCCTCATTATCATATCTGAGCACCTTCTGCAGAAAGTTAAGAGCCGTAGTGAAATCCCTGGTGAATGTTTGTCACTTTTTCTTCTTTGGGGACAAAAATGATTTTGTTGCTGTTTGTTTGTGATGGAGTTTTGTTGTGGGGGTGTTGGTGTGAATGGTATGTATGTCACTCTAATTCCAAGAGAAAAGCCTTTTCATTTTTATGTTGTGCCTTCTGTTCAGTACCACAGTTTCTCCAGTGATTTTGTTACCCTCCTCCCCCTGTCAGATTAAATCATCATTAACAAACCCTTTTAGCAGCCTCCCGCTTGACAACAGTGCAGTTTTGCTTTGCTCTACTAAATCCCTTAGTTCTGGTCAGGTCACCTCTGTGGACCTGGTTTAATTCACATTTAGGTCAGTGACAAAACTTCCATTGACTTTAAAGGGAGGAAGATCAAGCCCTGCGTCTTTGCATTCTAACATTATACTGGGGGAAACCTGGAAAATTTGTTTCACATTTGCCTAATCGGACAGTGGATTAGGAGACTATAATCTAGCAAAAGGCCTGAATACAAAGGAGACTGTAGTGTGATTCAGTTCCATCACATTATATGGGAGAAAAAAATGTATTCAGACACCACAAGTTCTGCTTATGTTCTGTCAGTGGAGGCTTGCTTGGACTGTTACTTCAAACAGGAGCCCAACTGACTGCAAGCAGATACGTATATATGCCTGTGAAATATCTGCATATGGCATTTTCTACCAGTACTTTACAATTCTGGGATTGTAAAATCAGACAATCAGATGACAGCTTGCAAATTAATTGACAGAAGCATGCAGGCTACCAGCTGGTTGTAGTTAAAGTTTGCTGTTAAGTCTGTTTTCAAGCCTTCCCTGCTTCTGAGTGGAAATAACATAGGTACATGCAGAGTGAGACTATCACATAGTGTCCTCATTTTTTCCTGATATACCAGAGTAATCAAACTACATATTGATTTTCAATAAAGAGCTAAAAGGAGGGATGTGTTATATAAAATTGAGATTTCTGACTGTAAATGGTTCAATCCACTGTTTTTTTTTGTAAACTTGGCACATTTGTAAATATTTATTTATTGGAAATATACCGTATGCAATGCACAATCACTTTGTGATTTTATATGTCATTAAATAAAGCTTTTACAACCTGGTTTATAGAAAATTTGCGGATTAAATGTTCTTTCTTTTCTCCCCATGCAATCTCCCTTGATAATAGAAGATGTTGGTC